TACACTCCTAAGCCATCTCCCAGTGCTCTTACCCTGGCCTCAGACCAGGTCACCTGGCAGTTTCCATCTGCCAGACAAGAAGCTGGGAACTTGGCTTGCTCTCCTCCTCCACAGCGTCTTGGAAACCCACCCCAGCGCAAACCTGTTGCACATGTATCTGTAATGCCAGTGATGAAGATATCAGCTCCCAGCAGCAGAAGGTGCTGAAGCTCATGCCCAAACCGCTCTGTGCTTCCTGCAGCTTTTTAAGATTGGCAACTACAGTTGCAGGCCAGGTGCCTGCACATACCCACCTGCTCTCCATGGATCTCTTTATTTCTCTTACATGAGCAAACAGAAAAAGAGATCTGATTCTATGACAGAAAGTTACTTGGAGGGAGCAATAGCCAACTATGGGGAAAAGACTGAGGACCTCTGCTAAGGGTCTGCTGCCCTGGGGACAGAAACCAAGACCTTGGAGGGCAGAGAGGGTGATTTTCATTGCTTTGTTTTATTTGGAAGCTCTTCTATCCTGGTATAGGAAAGAACTGAGTAAAAGAAGCAGAAGAAAAGTAACTGAGACTCCAGAGAAGCCAACCTTGGAAGAGTACAGGAACTTTTCATCAGTAACTGTCTGAAATTAGAAACATAGAGACAAAACAAGACAAATCCAGAGATTGCCTCTGGAAGACAGTTGCCAGATACAGAAATAAGTTAGGACTGAAGCTGCTGAATTATTTTTGAGGGATTTTACACTCTAAGAAAAAGTAAAGAAAAATTATTATAGCCCATATATAGCTGATAATGTGCAATACCCAAATGGAATATGTCTCAGGAAGAGATGAGCATGCAAAATCACTTTTTAGTGGTAGAGTTCAGAACATATAAACCCAAAGAGCAGAGGAAAATCATCAGAAAAGTAATAGCAGAAATCGAAAGGGCTTTCTTCAGTGAAGGACTATTAAAATTTATTTTTGTCAGTAAGGAGTACAACACTGAAAGGCGATTACAACATTGGGAGAGAAAACACCACCCCTTGCTGAGAACCAAGAGAAAGTTCAATGAATGGAGGATTTTATCTCTGTATATATTCCACCAAGTTGCTGCTACGTTGGATCTGGATTCCAGGGATGCTGCCAGAAGAGAGTAAAACCTTCCATGCCTCTATAATGAATGGGTACTGTTATTATTTAAGTAATAAAAGTGATATAATTCTTGTTTGTTTATGGCTTACAAAGTATTCTTGTAAGTCAGTACTGGGAAATACACTTGCAAAATGTTTGTTTGAAGAATAGGTAAACACGCATGAATTGTGATACATCCGGCTGAAAGAAAGCAGCAGAGGGCAGTGTGATTAGTTTGCTGAGAACAAATCTCTGGATATTCTTTCCATTCCTCATCACCACAATACCGGTAGTGAAGGGATGGTGCTATGCAACTGGGAAGGTAGCTGGAGATCGAGGAAGGACAACAGTCAGTCTAAAGGCCAAATAACTAAGCTGATATTCTAGAATCACCACATGCACATCACTCTAAAATTCATACTAACATCAACTGTATTTGATACAGGAGGAACACTGAACAAGCCTGTCCCTAGCCCCATGCATTCAGTTTACCTTCAGCAGTGCAGCATGAAAAACTAGTCAAGCACTCCAGGGAGAATGAAACCTTTAGACTTGGAAGGTAGAAGCACTTAACAGTACCAGGTGATGGAGGAAATCTAAATGCAAGTGAAAGAGTTGAAGAAAACAATCCAGAAGAGAATTGTTTTCATTTAAAATGTGTCAGGTTGTTAGGACCTGCGTCGACGGATGATGCATAAGAAGGCAAGAAAAAGAACAGGAAGAAAATAATAATGAGGAATAGGGAAGAATTCATCCAGAGTAAGATACCTTTTCCCTCCACAAGATAGTCCGTAGTTGCTTGATAGAAGGTTTCATTATATTTTCTTTGAAACATCTTGTGTAATTTGCTGATCTGATTTGCTATGACTGTTCCTAATGCACAACACAGGAAACTTTATCATAAGAAAATAGCAATAGAAATTGAATCTAATGATTTCTGGGGACTGAGGGACTTTGAAGTAGGATCATAAGAAAATTACATGGGAGGGAGAGGAAAAAACAAGAGAGGCCAAGAGTTACCATGAAAGGCATTAATATGCTATGTTATAGTATAAACAAATCAACATAGCATCTGGGTTAATTAAAATTATTAAATAAAATATTCTACTAATTCAGATTCCTCAAATAAAGGGGGGTTCTTGAAATTAAAAACTAAAAAGAGGAGTTGAGTTGATTTTGTTTAAAAAAGATACTGATCATCAGTGATGCATTTGAAGAGTTTGATACCCTTCAAAAAGAAGCAAAAGAGTTTGTTTCTTTTATGATTTTAGAAAATCACATATGTTAATTTTATTACAAAAGGGTTACACCTAAAACTACCACTTTTCATTGACATATCCCTGAACATTGTGAATAATTCCACAGTGTAACTGTTAGCATGTACATTTGTCTGAATAAAACTGGACATCTGAAAATATACTGCAACCCCATCTAGACTAGGATCACAGTGAGTACCTAGAACTATATTTTTATAGTAATATGGACCTAAAAGCCACAGATAATAATAATACAGAATAATGCACCAATACCTTGTCCCCATTGCAAAGAACTTCCCAGGGACAATACAGTATTACTGTAATGATCAACACCCAAGGAGATTTTACTTTGTTTGTAGATCTTGTTAGGAAAATGCATTATGAAAATAAAAAATAGATTTTACACAGAGGCTATCTAGGAATATTTCACACATTTAACTACCTTTTAAGTGTAATAATTCCAGAATGTTAACTACGTTCACTCCTTTTGCCACAAGTTTAGCCAAAATGGATGGACAGGCACAATCAAAGACACCAACCATGATTGTACAGGTAAGCTAAAAGAAATCTCAGCTTTGCAAAAGTAAAAGTCTTGGATAAGAGAAATTTTGAGGCTTGTTACAACTTTACAAATGCTCTTCAATTACATTTTGCTAAATCGTAATTCCCAGAAGTAGTACTTCAGAGCAAATACTTTTAGGAGTGATATCACTCCATAAGCTCGCATATTGAGGTTTTTTTCCCTGACACATTACTTGGCATGAAATGTTTCTAGGATTGCTACTCAAGTACCTTGGTGAAAAAGATAGTGGTGCGCATAGCTGAAGTACCTGTAGGCAATCTACTTGATGATTCACATGTCCTTATTAAGCCTCTCCTTGTCACTGGGAGTGTGTTCTAAAGCAGCAAGATTCTGCAATATTGATTTTTTAAAAAATTACGTTAATGGAGCAAAAATTCAAATAAAAATAATTGTCTCTCAGTGCAGTGCATGCCAAGGAATTTAATTCCATTATTATTCAGACAAAGGGCTCTTTTTCTTCCATAATCTTATTTCCTCTATACAAAAGGTTCACGTATGACTAAAATAAGTACCTATTGAGGAGATATGATTCCTGTTTTGCCTAATATCTTTGATTCCAAAACTGAAAAACACTCCTGAAACAAAAAGCTGCATTATTATTGTCTCAAGAAGTGAATCTTTTTGACTGTGAGTGTTGTGTTCAGAATCCTCTTTTATGAAACAGAATCTAAGTTTATTACCTGAAACATAAATAAAATGGGTGTTAACAAACTATTCTCCCTCTCTAAACAGAGGTTTTTTATGCCTAGTTAAAAGATGGGTGAGAAATCAATTTTATGATCAGTATTTGACATTTGTCCACAGCAGAGAGGCACCATATGACTTGACAGTTGCCGATTCTGTGCTTAGGGCTGAAAAGATATAAAAAGGGGGGGATTTGTAGGTCAAAAATTAGTTCCCTTGCCACTGCTTCTAGAGAAGCTGGCAAAGCATATGGTCCTACTGAAATGTCTGTTCTGTGCTTGGAGGCTGCAGACAAATTTACATCCAAAGAGACACTTTTTCTTTTTTAGCTTAACCTAGTCTCTGCTTCAGTGTCTGGATTTTGTTCTATTGTCACCAGTCCCCAGTAAGTAAAGATCAATCAGCAAGTCTTCTGACATACTGACAGTATTTTCCTCTGTCAACGCAGTACTTCTGGGATGAAACTCAAGCACCTTCTCAAATAAAGCATCAGAGATAGCTGTGGCAGCAACAGTAAAAACTGCCGCCTCAAAATGAAAAAAAAACCTGTGTCCTAAAAGAACATGCATGTTTGTAATTTAAACTGCACACAATCAGATTTTACCACCCTTTTACAGGTTTTAAAAATAGCACCGTTGTCTTTGTAGTCAGCTATTGCAAACTCAAAGAAATTATACATTCATTTAATAAACAGGAACAACCTTTCAAAATATAAAGTCTTTACCAAGTGTGCAAGCATCCATACCCTGCCTCCCTCACATCATCCATCCACCTGAACACTGTGCACATGGACCGACTTATTAAAATTTCAGAGATGACTGTACAACCACCCTTCCGCACAGAAATCGAGCTGCTTAAATCTGCAGTGTGCTTAACACCTTCAGCCTTCCCAAAATTCCTGCTGAACAATCGGCGTGAATCGCCTATCCCCACCAACGCAGACTGTCACCAGCCCGTGTAACAGATAAGTGAGGTTTCAGCAGCGCATGGTAAGCATCAGGTACAGATACAACAGGTTACTGAAACAGGGGGAAATAGCCGTAACCCGTGAACAATACACGCACAAAAGAGCAGCTCAATAGCACCGTAGCAACATATCCACCCTCCAGACAATCGCAAGGTTTTTTTGACTTACGACGCTTCTATGGCACAGAGCACCCCATGTATGTTAATTACCAGGCATTTGGGGGTGGGGGCGAGAACAGGGGTTTCGGGCGCCTTAGGGGAGCCGTGAAACTTTTCTGACGGCGGGGACCGAAGTTGAGGACGGGGAGCTCCGGCAGCCCCACCGCCCCAGGGCGAAGCCTCCGAGCCCAGCCCGGCCCCGCGCCCCCACCCCGCTCCGGCCGCAGCCCCGGCCGAGCCCCGCGGTACCTGCGCTGCCGCCGCCGCGGGCAGGGGGTTGTCCAGCAGCTCCATCTGCACCTCCTGCGCCGGGCTGGGAGGCGATTTGGACATGTCTCTCTGGACCATTGGCGAGGAGAGCGGGCGGCTGGGCGCCGAGCCCCTCGGCGGGACAGAGCCGAGCCGAGCCGGGGCGGCAGGCGCCGCTCAGCGCCCGGCCATGCCGCGGAGCGGGCGGGCGGCCCTGCCCTGCCCAGCCCAGCCCTGGCTGTGCCGGCGGGGAGTGCGCTCGGCGCCGGGGGACGGGGCAGCGCCGGCGGCGGGCGCGGGGGAGGGCAGGGGGCGGCGCTGGGGAAGAGAGAAAGTGACAGCGAGCATCTCCCTCCCGGCAGCGCAGGGCGGGGGCGGCGCCGCGCTCCCTGCAGGGCTCCCCGTCGGCCCCGCTGGACGCGCGGACGCGGCGGAGTGGCCAGCGGGAAAGTTGAAGATGGGGGCAGGGGAGGGGTCAGGCCCTGCTTGTCCTTTCAGCCCTGCCGGACATCTCGACCCTGGCCGCAAGGCATCGCCTGCCTCAGCCCTCGTCTGAGCCCAATCCATGGTTTTAGTGGGGAAACCGTCACTTTCAAAGATAAAGTTCTGTAGATCTGTCGTGTTGATACGATTTTTGCCTGTACTTGGACTTTTCTGTGCACATATCAACAAGAGATGAGCGAGATGAAACCCACCTTCTAATTTTGTACAGCCTATAGCAGCACAGTCTCAATCGTGCCACCGGTACCCCACAGGAGGCTTTTGAAAGACCTGTTCAAAACCTGACCTGGGAAAATCGCCTTCCACTGCTGAGATGATCTGTCATGCCTAAGAAATCTTTGTGACACCCAACTTAATGACTGTCTTGATAAACACTAAACCCCATAAAGCCCACTCGTAATCTTATTACTTTTCCTTTTGATCACTGGGTTACACCTAGCTGTGCTCCATGCAGCATGAGAGGGTAACTTAGGTTTTCAGTATCCCTTCGTGATTGCTTGTGAAATCTCTTATCAGCTGATTGTAAACAGTGAAAAGGCAGTAAAGACACTAAGTGGACTAATGTTATATACTTAAAATCACAACCATTACTAAAAGCAATATAATAGTCACTTACAGGAAAAGAAACCAGTAAAGCAAAGCCATCACAAAAGCCAGATCAGTTTCAAGACATACTTTCATGCTTTGTCTCAATTGCATGGTTGATTTATTTCATTTTTCATAATAGCTAATAGATTTTCTCTCTGAATTAGCTTACCCCTATGGATTTTCTCACATGAATAGTGAAAATCCTACAGGAACTGCCCACTTTTTTTGTGAAGAAATTGGCTTTCTCTGCAAGTGGAAGCACTCCAAGGTTTGGAGAAGCTTGAGAACTTTCACTTGTCCAAAAAGTTTCACATTTCATTTTGAAATGTTGTAGTAGTATTCTTCAAAAATAATTTCTAAAATTTTGTTCTTGTCCATGGCAAAATAGAACCTTAATGTTAAGTGAAAAGAATGTCTTTTATGTGCTTAACTTTCAAAAGATGCATATTTCACCTTCTAATAGAGGCCTCAAAGCACTTATTTCTTTGTCACTTCAGATTAGATTGTTTTAATGGAATTACTTTTTGTGACCATCATCATAATTAAGGAACTTACTGAAAAACCTGAACACAGTATTCCTGTTAATGATTGCTGAGTCGGGTGTTGTTATCAAAAGATGTTGTCTTTGACTACCAATTCCTTGATTGCTTTGGAACCATTTACCCTTCTATCATACTCTAGGAAAGGCACTTGATGATCTGCCATGATTCAGTACCTTTACTTGGTAGATTTTCAGGCATCTGTCAGAGATTGCCTGTTCTCTCTCACACAGAGAAGGGAGTGGAAGTTATTTAATCATGTAACAGTGGTCCTTCGTATTCCCTTCTGGATTTTCACTTTTTAAAGGGTATATAAGCGACAGCATTTTTTTTTTCAAGAACACCGTCCTTCTTTAAGAGTAGCAGTGACCATTTTGGAAATATTATAGTTTCTAAAACCATAAATTGCACATCTGGATTGAAAGGGTATTTCTACTCCCTTATAAATTAGAGATTGAATATATCAAACAAAGGTAATTTTTTTTGTGTGCTTTCGTATATTTTTATGATTAATTTCACTTTTTTTCTTTACTTTATAAAAATATAATGGCTATGATTTTGCTTGTTTATGTACACACATATACGGGCTGCAGAAAGCAGGAAAAAAGTTTTTAAGGCACAAATAAACAGAAGGGAAATCACTTACTTAAAATAAATATAAATATTTATGTTGTACATTTTTCTCTAAATAAACCCACAAGAACCCCCTCAACACACACTAATCACATCTGAATTTCTAATAAGTTTATTTTGCTCTTCTTCCTGTGGAAAAACCTTCTACCTAACTGTTCTTTAGCAGCAATTATAATTTTTTGCCTTGATGTAATGAGTGGCTTGAAGATTAGCCTAGAAATACAATTGTAAGTGTCTTACTCTGCTTCACTCCTTTTGTCTAGCAGTTGACCAGTGTTCTCTAACCTTGAAATGTGCGGTGAACACTATACATGTAGTCATCCCTTTGCATCCTGTTTTTGGCCCCATCTGCTCCAGGATAAGGATCAGTGTGTAAAAACAATATGCAGAGGTCCTAAATTGCTTCTTCTTTCTCAGGGGGAAAAGCAACATGGTATGCCTAGCCACTTCTCAACAGAAAACCACACTGCTGCATTTATTTACACTTTTATCTGCAATGGAGAGGTGTTGTGCATGCTTATTTGCGCTTAGCTAAACATGTAAATTTTAGAAAACCAGACAAAAATAGAAGCTGTTTTGTTTGAAATTGTTTGTTTGTTTGTCTGGTTTGCTTTAAAAAAACAACCCCAGACCTTAGGTTGACAAAGAAGATAACCTGATTGGGGTGCCAAAAAATAAGTGGGTTTGTTGCATGAGAGATTAGATCTTATTTTAAAGCAAGGAGGACTGCATTACTTTGCAGGTTTAATTGTTCTTTACCACCAAGATAAGACTGTGGTGCCAGCACCATGTCCTAACCTTGTATGCATGTACAGCAAGTATAGGTTTGGTTTAGTCTGTAACTATCACTTGAATGTGCAAATTCAAGGCCTAGGAGGGTTGGCTGATATTTGTGCAAGTGCAGCTAAAAGCTTATAACTGAGACCCAACGGATTTCATTTAAAACTTACATAAATACAGATCAGTGAGCTTACAATGACTCTTATGAAACTACTAAAATGTTTCTAATTGAGCATATGTTTAAAACCCTGATACAGCAAATTTCTTTAGGACTATCAGTTAAAAAGAAATGCTGGCCATCTATTACTGTGTGTCACATCCTGCTTAAAATCCATTGTAGATAGAAATTCAATATTGTAAAAAGAAGAATTCACTTGATTACCTGCTTTTAATATCTGAAAACAGACATAGTTCATCTTCTTCTCCAATAATAAACCAGGAGCTGGCTGTCACAATTGCAAACTGAAGGGATTTCTCTTATTTTTGTACTTTATCTTTCACACAAGTCTGAACAAAACCACTCCAAACAGGCTCACTTATGAATCCGTTATCAGTCTGTATCAGAGCACAACATCATCTGGCTGAATTTAATGAACTGATCCATTCTTCCACCTTGTGTTTATTATGTTTTCTTATTTCGGATATAGGTGTCATGCAGCAGAAAAGTCTTTATTGATATTGTTACAATATATTCAAGATGGGATCGGAAGGAGTAAAGTTTCTAGATGATGGAAGATAGAAGCAAGATATAAACACTGGCTAAAATGCTTTTAATGCACAGAAAGGCTCATGATACTTGAAAAAGCAACAACAACTACTAAGCACATATTTTCATCCCTTTGCAAAACATAACCAAAAAAGGCACACTCCTGCTTGCAAGCTGTTCACTTTGTGAGAGGCAAATTTGCTGTCAATGGGTTGTATACAAAGTTCATGTTTGATTAAGCACTTCTGCAGAAGTTGCTGGTTTCAGATGATATTTTCTTTCCTTTTTCTTTCCCCTCCTGTCATAACTGAGACTGCATATCTCCTTTTGTATTCCCAGTCCTTACCAACTATGGTGTTCCTATTTATAGCATTATTGCTCTCTTATTATTAAATACTTGAATCACAAGAGCACAAAAATCTTTATAGCACTCTCACCCACAAATATGCTCAGCCCGTGTGACTTACTGACATGAGAGAATACTTTTAATAGACCATGCGGCCTATGTCCAAGGGCAGCATCCGAGGTCTCCTCATCTCCTTGAGGGTTGCCTTTCCTTCAGCCTTCATTAAGCCCTGCGCTCAGCTTGGGCTTCTCTGCTTTTGGGAAGATATTTTTTTTTTCCACACAAAAATCACTTATTTGTGGCACTGAAGCAAAAATTCATTCACAATAAATGGTGTAAGAAAAGACAATGACAACCTCTAATCTGTGTGAGGATTGGAAAACCTTCAAGGTGGTTGACAGTTAACTCATCATTACCAGGTTGTTGGCAGTGCTAATATGCCTAGGAGTTTATAAATTCTTTGCCAATTTAGACATGCACAGATCTGAAGTGCAGATCGCTGATGGCACTGCTCCATGTTACCATCAAGTCGATTTTAACAGTGAATATTTGCCAGATGTCATTCCCCTCCCTCCTTGCCTTGGCTGTGTTAACCTGATCTTCCATGGCACACACTTGTGTCTCTGAGCGTGAGGGACTCCACTCCAGAACTAAAGGTAAAATGCAGCAGAAAATTAACTACCTTTCCATAGGGTATGTCTGCTCCTTTACCTCCATGAGCCATCCTACCATGAAGATCGAGTAGTGCAACTGCCAGGGTGAAAGGGGGAGACAGCAGGAACACACAACTCAGAGCAGGGCTGAAAAATTCCTTCCTGGCAGCACACCAACCCTTAAAGCAGCTTAGCTATAAACATTAAACTGCAAACACGGTCAGTTTTGAGAATATTACTGCAGAATAAGGTTCATTTGGTTTCACAAAAGTAATTTTTGGTAAGTACTTTGAGTTTATGTAGCAAAAGGAGGGCAAAGAAAGACAAGTCTTCAAACTTTAGTTTCTTCCTCCTTTTTCTCCCTTATTGCTAAGCCTCTTTTACTCATCTTTCCCCCAATGTTTATAAAAATAAAGATTCTAATTTTGTAAGAAAAGAGTTTTCAACGAAGCACCCTTCAAGTTTCATAAGA